AGGGATGAGGTCTGGACTCGTCTCGGCTTCATCGAAACCGTCCAGAACGGTTGCATTCTACCCAAACCGTTCAGAACGGTTGCATTCCACCCAAACCGCTCAGAACGGTTGCATTCTACCCCAATCGTCCAGAACGGTTGCATTCCACCCAAACCGTTCAGAACGGTTGCATTCTACCCCAATCGTCCAGAACGGTTAAGAATGAAGGAAAGTTAGGAAAGGAAGGATGCCGCCGATATAAACCCAAGTTCAAGTTATAGTACTGTAGTACTGTATTTTTGGTCTCGCATTTCGGCAGACAAAGAGGTACTCATTATGGTGAAACGGTACCACATACCCTTTACATGCGAACCCCCCATGGAATTAATATCTCGAGACAGATATACTGTCTGCGCGCCACAGTTTAGGCAGCATGTATTAGAGCTGGAAATAGAGGTGTAATAACACGGGTAGAGAGATACCAGTGTTCTTGTCCAGTACATATACGATACGTAGACCCACCTCACTTCAAGCTAGAGAGTGTGACGCTAGGACCAGAATTGGCACAAGTGAATGGGCAATTTACAAGAATTGATTTCATTGCGAACTTTCGAAACGAAGAAAATGAAGGCTCCTCGGTTTTCCGTCTAGTTGAGCTGGTAAAGCAAACTTTGAGTTAACTAACGGTAGTTCTTTGAATGAGTGTACTCTATCTGCATGGGACAAGAACCTGTCTGAAGCTAACAGTTCAAAGTTAGCTAGAACATTTCGTTTTGTTCGAATGTAAAAGGGGCGGACAAGGAATGCACGTAGATCACGTACGTAAAGGATCTGTGGTAAAAAGGATGGAAGATAACAAGATGTTTAAAGGACGGATAAATAGCGTAAGAAAATATAAAAGTTAAAATAGATGTTTAGGATTAAGATGTTGATAGTATTGATAATGTAGTTAGTAGTTTAGATATCTCGGGGTAGTGTACAAGGGAGAGTACAAATTGATTATTTATCCACATAAAAGTTATTTTTGTTCTTCGATAGCTGAGGTTTGTACTCGTCCTAGATTATCTTTGAAAGAATAACGAGTTCAGGTCTGATCTGAGAAACGATGAAAGGTTGCATTTCAGTTCAAACCGTCCAGAATGCTTGCGTTCAACTCAGAGTCGTTCAGAACGGTGATGATGTGTAATGTGACAAGTGATTCCCTCTCTTCCTCTTCGTTGTCAACAGGAGCAATAACGATTCTGAATTGAACAACTGAGAGGAGGGAATATCGTACTCTAATGATCTGATGAGATATCTAGTAATCCTTATGAGAATTTCGGAGTCCCTGATTGTTCATGTGGTACAATACAATGTTTCAAGTGGTCATATGTTGACTAATCAGTTGAAACAGAGTTGATCATTTCTACAATTGAGAAGAGCTTCGAAATTTTATATTTGAAGCTGAATCGAAACGTTGTTGCATTCTCTCACTTAGCTTTGCCACAGTTGTAGTGGTAAATAGAAAGATGATCTGTTTGTGTCTTTGAATCAAGCTCCGACAGTTTGACACTTGTTTGTTTGCCAACAGTTAACCATAGATCATCAATCAATTATGTTCGGTCAATATGATCATTTGTTCTAAGGTAATGATTTGTTATGGACCATGAGGGACACAAGAATACACCCTCTTTCTCTGTTACACACATGTTCATATCATTTTTGTGTTTTTCATTCTGCTAATACTCCTTGCGTGTTGAATTGAAACCTTATCAACTCCAAGCAATACTCCACAACTGTCCGAGTGTACAATTTCAAAAAAAACTAAATTCTCTTGATTCATTTTTGGACTTTTCAATTCAATAGACTTGGAAAAAAAGAAGTTTGCTTTTCATTTTTCTTAAATTGTTCGACGACATAGTATTTTCGGTCGATGACCTCTCTCCTTTCTGTCTCAATTGAAGATAGAGAGACAGAGAGAGAAAGAGAGAGGAAGAGACATAGAGAGATAGAGAGAGAAAGAGAGAGGAAGAGACATAGAGAGATAGAGAGAAGAGAAAGATTCAGAGGATGAAGACGAAACTGTTTTTCATCGACAAAACTGTTTTAAATAACATTTTCTTTTTACTTATCTCGCATTGCCATGAGAATTTTGCATTTTTGTGGAAAATTCCACGTTGGGTGACAAAACGATTTATTTTTAGAATGGTGTACTGTCCATTAATCTTATCATTTTCTCGTCATGTTGTTATCGTTTTCGTCTCTTCCCTACTAAAGTCCTTTCTTTTGGCTATTTGGCTGAAAATATCTTGTTGCTGTCTTTGGAAAGAAGTAACAAGAAATAGAGAGATAGAGAGAGAGAACAGAGTGAGAGAGAGAGTAATAACTTTTTTCTTTGAATTTCATCCTCTTTCCCACTTTTAGAATGCAACCTACTGGTGCTATTGTTCCCTATATCTTTATGAACTCCTCCATTATCTGTTCGTTCATTCATCTTGACTTCATTTCATATCTCCGTTTTCATTTCTTGAGGCTTTTCCTTTCAGAAATCATGGTGAACGAAAAGGACTACGCTAAGAATCAAATGCTGAATTACAAAAATTCGCAACCTGTAAGCTTTCAATCTTAAATAGTATAGTAACAAGAACGTTTTCAGAAGAGAAACAACATAACAACATCTAATGGAGCTCCCATTGCCGGCAAGAACGCTGTTCTTACCGCTGGACCCCGCGGACCAATGCTTATGCAAGATGTTGTCTACATGGATGAGATGGCGCACTTTGACCGCGAGCGCATTCCTGAGCGTGTTGTTCATGCTAAGGGAGCTGGTATAATAACACCAAAAATAGGAAAATGTAATGATTTCATTATAGGAGCTCATGGTTATTTTGAAGTAACTCACGATATCTCCAAGTACTGCAAGGCTGATATTTTCAGCAAAGTTGGAAAACAAACTCCTTTGTTCATTCGTTTCTCTACCGTCGGTAAGGTTTTTGTCAATATTTTGTTTTTGAAAATGTTGGCGGGAGATGGAAGCGTTCTTCTTTCGCTTCATTTACGAACTTAGTTTGAAAGATAAAAGAAACGATGAAACGCTTCGGAAATTCGTTAGAGGGCCACATGAAAAGACTATATTTCTCTCTCTTGATAGCTTTGAAGACTACAAGTTTCCCATTTGAGAAAGATTAAAATATTTCGATAAAACGCAATTCTCTGTTGCCTATTCTTTGATATTTCATTTTTGCTGATAATTTATTGAATAAGATAAGATGTGAGATTATATTGATTAGAATATTTGGAAGTACACTGCATGCGTACGTGACGTGGCCACGTGAGATGTACGTGCAGCAGTCGATTCGAAATAAAATCATTTTCAATACTCATGTCTGGTAGAACGGCTGTGTCTAAGAAAATTAATTTAACTCACCTTTTAATCATTTTCTTATAGGAGGAGAGCTCGGTTCAGCTGACACAGCTCGTGATCCTCGTGGATTTGCCATCAAGTTCTACACTGAAGAAGGAAACTGGGATTTGGTAATTATTTTATTGTTGAGAAGTGTTATAACAGAATTAAGGTTGGTAACAACACTCCAATCTTCTTCATCCGTGATCCAATTCTATTCCCCAACTTCATCCATACACAGGTATCTTTGATATGATATAGTCTTGTTATCAAGCAGCTTTTAGAAACGTAACCCTCAAACTAACTTGAAGGATGTTAACGCTATTTTCGATTTCTGGGGACATCGTCCAGAGGCTATTCATCAGGTACTCGTTTGAAGCTATCTGTTTAATTTTAAAATTTTAAAGGTTATGTTCCTGTTCTCTGACAGAGGAACTCCTGATGGTTACCGCCACATGAACGGTTATGGATCTCACACGTTCAAGATGGTTAATGCCCAAGGAAAAGCTAACTATGTTAAATTCCATCTTAAGGTTAGTAAACGAAGAGTTTTAATATCTTATATTGATTTTCTTAGACCGATCAAGGAATCAAGAATCTCAAGTCAGAAGATGCTGAGCGTTTAGCCGGAGAAGACCCTGATTACTCCACAAGAGATCTGTTCAATGCTATCGAGAACGGAAACTATCCAGCATGGAACTTCTGCATTCAGGTAATATCTTATATGATAAAGGGAAATTTTAAATGAACGTTCAGATCATGAGTTTCGAAGAGGCTGAGAAACACAAATTCAATCCTTTCGATGTCACTAAGGTCTGGCCCCAAGCTGAGTTCCCATTGATTCCTGTTGGTCGTGTTGTTCTCAACCGTAACCCACAAAATTATTTTGCTGAGGTACTTCACAGTCATTTGAGATATTAAAATAACGATCATTAATCAGGTTGAGCAATCTGCTTTCTGCCCAGCTCACGTTGTACCTGGAATCGAGTTCTCTCCTGACAAAATGCTCCAAGGACGCATCTTCTCTTACACTGACACTCATTTCCATCGCCTTGGAACCAATTACATTCATTTACCAATCAACTGTCCGTTCAGAGCGAGAGCTCACAACACTCAACGAGGAGGACAAGGATATCATGAAAGCCAAGGTATAAAATCGAATCTTATTCTTCCTAAGTGGCTGTCTCAGGAAACGAAATCAACTATTATCCTAATAGCTTCCATGGTCTTAAAGAAGACAGCAAAGCTAAGGAAAGTGTCTGGAAGAGTTCTGGCGATGTTGATCGTTATGATTCTGGGGAAGAAAATAACTATGACCAACCAAGAGACTTCTGGTTAAAGGTAAGAAAACACCCAACGCAAGGCTGTTACCTCTTTTTCTTCTTCAGACCCTTAGCGAGCCAGAACGTGACCGTCTTGTTGCTAACTTAGCCTCAGCCCTGAAGAACTGTCTGCCATTCATTCAAGATAAGATGATCCATCACTTCACACAGGTACGGCTTAGAAGTGGTCTTTTGTAATTTTATGATGATGTTCATAGGTACATTCTGATTTCGGAGCTAAGCTTCGTAAATCTATCGACCAATTCAACGTTGAAATGAAGGCTCGCTGCCATTTGTAAATTTATTTCTCAGTTTTCAATCAGTTTTAATAAACCTTTTTAAACAAAATGCTATTTTATTTTATATATTTGCGGATAGTATGATGATCAGGTCATGATGATGAACCGAGATCGAATTGATTGATGTTTAGGATTTGTTGAGATGCAACTTCAGCTGTTGCTGTTGCTGTAGAAGACCCGCAAATGGTATCATCTGATTTGGGTGATGTGCTGAGGATAGAATCGGGTGATAAAGCTATTTTAGTATTATTGAGAATGGTATTTGTAGGTGTTAAGTCCGAAAGTGTATGATGGACTGTAGGAGGTGGTGATGGTAAACGCAATGTACATCCGGCAGGCTGTGTTATAGGGAATAGTGGAAGCATGAACGGTGACATATTCTTACAAGCCTAAATAGAAGATGCATTTCCAAATATTGATTCAGTCAGCCATACCTGTACTCTTGGATACTTGGCATTGGGTCGTCGTCCTCGAGGAACTCTGCTAGCAGCTAGAAGACTTTCGATGGAGAAGGGATTAAGTTCTTTTGCCTTAAAAGGGGAAACTTAGAACATTACTGTTCAAACAAAGTCATACTTGTTTGGATTCTTCTCCTTTTGTGGAAGAATCATTAAGAGAAGGCGTCTTCAAATGTTCTTTCTTTCTCCATTTAGCTCTACGGTTTTGGAACCAAACCTATAAAAAATGAGAGATTAAGAGAATGCAATGGAACTCGCAACTTGCACAAGCTTGTCAACTAAATTTATTTATGGTACTTAAGTAAGGGTATACATGTTTCCAAAAGTAGAAAAAGAAAAGACAAAAGTTGCCTGAGGGGATTGAGATGTGTTTTCCGGGACCCGGCTTGTCTCATTATCTGCTTGGAATCAGTTAGATTTAGCCAATGAATTCTTCTTCCTTCATGTTCTTATCGCTCTAGTCTATCTATCACTCTGTCTCTTCTACAGAGACCTCATACAACTCAGTCGTTTTCAGAATACTTTCTTGTCAACCTTCTGTCAGATATTCAAAATTGTAAAATCAATCATGGTAGTGTGTAAGAGAATCAGAAGCCCATATAAGGTTTCAAAGCTGGCAGCAAGCCCCATTTGAATATTCATATTAAGCTTGAATAAAGCGATGAAAAATAAAGAGAATGATCATCTCCCATCGGGAGAATAGTTTCGTCAAAAAAACAACAAATCCATTGCCACATCAATGATTTGTTACCATGTTGTTTATGGAAAGTTAATAAACTATTTTTGGGCGCCCTCTCTTCCTTCCTCATCCTTCTCTCTTCCTCCTTCCACCCTCCTTTCTTCCATTCTCTTCTTCGCTCCCATCTGCTTATACGGTAGCATTTTTTATTATCATTTGTTTCTTTCTAGCTCTATGGCAGAATTTTATTTTCGTTCGATAAAATACACTTTTGACATGTAAGCTGTTGTTTTAAATCAAAATTTAAACAAAATGAGAAAACTTTATCTCCCAATCCTCCTTCTTCATCCTTCTAAAGCTCAAACATCAGAGGATGCTTTTTCTAATCAATTCTTATCAATTTTCAGATATTTTTTTGAATTTCTGCTTAAGACGTCAGACTCTCTATAGAGAATTCATCGTATTCTCACCAATTTTGACATTCTATGGATTGCTTTAGTTTTACTAATTTGCTGTCCCGGAGAGATTTCTTTCCATAATCGCAGATAAATGCTCTCTTGGGACCTCAACTTCGGCTAAGTCTATTATATTTTTGAGCTAAAAAGTTGCCTTTTACGATAAATGCTCAATGATATTCAAAATATTTCTGAATTTTATTCGAAACATCTTTCGTCGACTTTTTTTGAGACTGTTGGATGCAGTTTTGGGTTTTGATGGGTACTGACCTGTACACGGCTTTCAAGAAGATCTAATCTCATGGCTAGAGCTTCTCTCATGAACACATCAGGATAATGGCTGGCTTCAAAGGCATTCTCTAACTCTTCTAATTGCCAGCCAGAGAAGTTTGTTCTGGTACGACGGCGTTTCGCAGAAGATGATCCTGCGAGGTTGGCTGAGGATGTTGAGGAGTTGTCACCTCCGGCATCTCCAGAGTTATCTAGACAAACATTCCTTTAACAACATACATGAGAATCAACAAACCATCAAAATCTGGAGTTGGGGCGTTTGAGAGCATAGGCTCAGGTGTTCGGGATGATGCTCTGCTTGAAACACTAGCAGCATCGTTCATATCGCCCGTTTCGTCTGTAGGGAGATACATGGGATTATGGTAAGATACAATGAATTACGAACACTCACCTGGGAACAAGAGTTGCTGTTGCTGTTTGAGATACTCCTTCCAAACTTGTTGCATTTGTAGATTGGCGAACATCTCCATTGTGATCTCCCACGACGTTGTTACGGAGCTCCAGATATGACTTAAGGAAGCAGCTTAATCGAATTGTCTTCTTAGCTTATATTTGCCAATTTTTGCTACCAGCCAATAGCTGACGAGAGTGGGCGGAGCTTGAGCAGATTAAGGAGGATAGGGTTGTTTAAGGCATTCTAAATGTAAAATAGAAGAATCTCTCTGTTCTTCACATCCTTTTTCTACATGAGCCAACCCCAACGGGCTCATTACCACAGCTGATTCATTGTAATATGTTAGAAATGTAACATGGGCAACGAAACGAGAAAAACTGACAGCAAGTCTTTAAGCTCATCTTCATAGCAATTTTCCGGAACAGATTCGCAACATTATATATCCGTCAGTTGATGAAAAACAAGCCATGCTGATATCATAACACATCCACAGACAATAAAGTTGTTATAGCTTTCTCTTTAGCAAAGAAGTTACTGTAAAAGAGAGGTGAGAGAGAGAGAGAGATGAGAAGGCTGTTTTCCAAGCTCAGAAATTTAATAACTCTACCCTATGTATGTATAATACATTCCTAATTAAAAAATTAATAAAATATTTCATGCTAATTATTGTTATTTTGAGAATTATTATGCTCTCGTCATTGCCTTTTCGTTGTCTTTCTTTCATTTCGACAATTTGTAGTTAATATGTTGTTGAATTGTGTTTAACGATGGCTTCGGATATGTAATGGCATCCCTCTTTTCTAAGATGAAGATGCGCAGCTTAATGAGAAATTATTTAAATGAGCCATATCTATTATAAATTGGTCGACATCGATGGAAACGAAATAGAATCCATCGTCTGAATGACAAAAAAAAAGAAAAGCACTGGCTAAATGTATTGGATGAACTGTCTCTTGTTCCACTTGTCACTCTTTGTATTTGTCTTCACAGATGACTCATTTGGTTTTCTGAAATTAATTGAATGAAAACTGTTAGCTTCCGCAGCGTTCGGAAACACAACCGTTCTCTGCGAGCGAACGCTAGTAAATGATGTCAGTTCACGTGGAGCCACGTGAATGACGTAATGCGTGATTCACGTTTGCAATGCATTTTCGTTTGTTCATCATTTGTTTCATGCGATGATTTTGATTTGTTCTTTCTTCAATTAGATAGATACCTTGAGCTTCAATGTGAGAGATCATGACAGTAGATGAGCATAATAAGATAATTTGTAGAAAGCTGTCAAATTGCATCATGCAACTCTATTACGTGTTGATTAGTTCAGATATTTATCTTCCTCTATATACATCATTTGCATAAATGGACATGTTGACAGCTGGAAGACAAACCATGCTCTGTCTGCCTTCTGCCTGTTTCACACTTCTCGCGCACCAAGCATCCACCGGGAACACTCAATTATAAATGACCAATATGGTCAGGATTACATATGAAAGTTAAGCTAACATCATTTGCTTTCAATCATAATCTTCTCTTCTCCGGATATTCAATCCAAATAAAAACCTCCAAATCAAACAAAGCAACATAGATAACCGCATATGCACTTGTATGACATAGGGCTTGCAAAGGAAATAGAATATGGTGAGCGCGCATCCGTCTAGAATGGAAACGCCTGGAATTAAAATGAGTCTCATGATAAAAAAAAATCAATTATCTGCAGAATGTTATTACCTCTATGGCTGTGATGAAGAAATATTTTGCTCTTCTTCCCACACAATTATATATTCATTGGAAGGAATTTAAATGTGACTTCGAATGTAATAATAATTAGTCCACATTATGCAAAGAAATTATTATTATGAGCCAAATGGAGGAATTTCATCGTTTACACGTCATGGAGTTACGTTTCACCTTCTACGTTTGCTGAACGATGACTGTACTGAATTAGAGCCATTAATGTATAGTTGAGAGAGCCTCTGGGATAGCAAAATACTTTATGACAAGCAAAGCCATTCATCGTATTATTCTGTCAAATCGTGCTATCCATATCATAATCTACTTCAGGGCAATAAGCGGTCCCTGAGGAGTTGCGATGTTGCGCAATACTAATAATCCGAGATTTATATTTGATATAAACAATTTCCCTTTCATAATTTGCATAAACTTTTTTGATTTGAAGCTGTTTAACTGAAACTTCTTCGATTGGACATTCATGAGACGACAGGGGACAGAATCCTGAAATTCTTAGCTAACAATTGTGGTAACAAATTGAAGCATTTGTCAAGCATCTTAATCTCTTTTTCTAGGGAGAATAGCCTTTTCGACAAATTAACGAAAATATTCTTCAAATGGAAGGATTCATTAATCACTGGAGATCTGAAACTATCAATAAATACCCGTGTAAAGGAGTGATTCTTAATTTAATCAAATAAATCATCCAGGAAATCATCAATATCATCTTCTACTGTTCGATCAGCTTCAGCGACAATTGGTTTCAACCAAATCTCATCGGCCTTCGTATCTGAATGGACAAAGCTGTTTTCAATCTAGACATGACACCTTACTTTTAGACGTTTTAGGCTCATCGTCCACTTCTTGCTTCACCTCCACATGAGATGTTCCTTCTGTCGACTCTGAACTCTGCGCTTTGGAACGCTTGGACTTCTTCTTCTTAACATATTTGGTCTTCTGGCTTCCGTAGTTCAGCTTTTCAGAGCAACTTGGACAGAGTCGTACTTTCACCAAAGCGTTCTTCCGCTCTTTTTGTTCGACATAAGCAAAATTCACCTGATGATTTCTGTGTTATTGGAACAAATCCTGATACGACTTACTTCCCAACTAGTTAAATCGTCTCGTGACTCACACTTCTTATTCCCACAAATAAATTGTCCCTTTCCATTCAAAACCTCTTTTTCCACTCTCCATCTCATGCCGACCTTATTTTTCTGGTAGAGTGTCAAATCCACTATACAGTATTCTGAAAAGCAATAGCCATTATTAAGATCGTGGACAAAAGCGCGCCTTTGAACAGTTTGTCATAATACTTCTTGGCCATACGAGCTTCCCAACTCGTAGCTGTTCTTTTCTCGTCATCAGCGTCCCAAAGGAACTTGTGATTATCCTGCAAAGATTCCATCGACTCCATATACCAAGTGTTTCAACCTTTAAGACATCATAATCTGTTCTGTCGTTTGAAGTATCCCGTTTGAACTTATCCAAAGCTCCTTTATTGTTCAAATAATACAAATTTATAATTTCCTTGTGTCTTGAGTACGCATCCAAAGACCTCAACCGTGATATGCCTCCTCTGAAATAGTTGAGCGATTGGAGAACGAATCAATATCATAGGTACCTGAAAGGTTTTCCATTATCTCCTTGAATGTCTTCTTTAGTTTCTTTCTTGTCTATACGTGTTACCTATGAACTAACACATATTTCTTCAAGGTTTTTAGTAGACATACTTTGCTAACCGATTCTTCAGCTGAATCAGTTTTCCTTTTTTTTCTTTCAACTTCATTCACGATATCATACGCCGAAGTTAAACCTTCAAAGGGCTTTCTTTCATTCATTTCTCTGTCTGATCTTAAAAACGTTTACATTTATATGAACTTGTGTGATAGGAGGCATATACGACTTGATGTTTGAGTTTGAAATTTTTCGAGTTTTTAACGTTCAACGACACTTGTTCAAACTTAAAAATATTATATCTTAAGCTTTCAAATTCTGTGCAACTGCATCAAGCGTCTCTTACAATAATTTTTTCAAACGAAAGAAAATTAAAAACTTTGACACGTGAAGCGACGAGTTTAAAAAAACTCCAGCAGTTTGCTGCTCGTGGCGGGACCAAATTTTTGTAGTTGGACAGACCTTTAAGAAACTTCACTTCATATTATTCCCGCCCTGCTGTAGTTCTACATCTACCTGATTGCACTTTCGTATTATATATTATAACGTAAAGTTAGTAGCGTTTCAAAGTCATATTTCCATATTCGGTCCTGTTCAGATCCATTTACCCACTGTATACACCTTCTCCAAATGTAAAGTAGAATCTCTTCATATTAAAAAAAACCTTCAAGTTCATAAAGTTTCCTTAAGTTGGATATGTTGAAAAGTGATTTGCTCAACCCAGCTGATCCTCCATCTAGGCAACAAATAGGACTTGTTTGGTTAATGGTGCCACGCGGCGGACAGACCATACTGTAAAGCGATGTTCGAGTTTGCACAGCGATTATTGAATGATTGCCTGTTCTTGTTTATACCCTCCTTCAACATCCTCTCCTATACGTTTCCCCTAACGTTTTTGACCAATTTTTTTTCATTTTGTTGCTCAGTTACCAACTGCTTTCTTAAATAAAACTGATTCAGCCCTGTCTGTCAACGAACGGCGGAATGCCACGTTTTCACCTCATCATCCCTTCTTTTTACCTCTGTTGCGCCGTCTTTTTCTCTCATTTCTCCTCTTTTTGAATCCATGCTCTTCCTTCCGTGTTGATCTTAACGAAGAAAGACCTGTGTGCTCATCGCTACTCGACCGTCCGCCTGATCTAGTCAGGCAAACAATTACCCCTGACCCCGACCTGTACGTCCTTGGGTAGTATCGCCTATCGGCCCACAGACTCAGTCTCACTTATCAAACTGTTCGTCTGCTGTGCTGTTGTGCTTTTATCCATATTTACTCGATTTTTTACGAAATTGCTACTTGTAAGAACTTGATTTTACACACAGAATTGCACTTTCGCATTGACCTTCCTGCTATACTCTCGCACTGCCTGCTCCCCTTAATGAGGATTACGTCACCCATTTCATCTCGAATGTTTCGTTCTACAACCGAAAATTTGAGTCTGCAATGTTTTTTCTTTTACATTTTTCGATTTTCTGGCTTTACGTTTCTTTTATGAATTTTCTCATGACACGTCCATGTTGACGTTGTGGTTTGCACGTCAATCATACCGTATAGCTTCCACGTACTTCTCTTCAAATTGTTATCAGTGTATTCTCCATCTTACTATTGCACTCGCAGGTATTGGTCTGAGTCGGTTCAGTCTCTCTCTCCTTGCCTTCGGATTACGGAAAAAGCCCGGAAGAGCCAATCTATTCTACGAATCATGGAAAACGGAACGGATTTTGAGAAAGCCCCCGCCACATCTGATGAAGGTTTGTCACATTTTTCTACGTTGTGCAATTCTATGTAGGTGAAACCTATCAGCCTTAGTATATAGCATGTTCGAATCGGGGTCTTTTCGTCATCAAGGTCATTCGCTCTGGGTTGCCTTGATTTTTTTCAGTTCAAGATTCTTCCAAATCCATCATTAAAAAGTTATTCATAGGGCGATTTTCATCTTCGTCTTCTGGAAGTTCCAGATTTCGAATTCACAAAAAAACATAGGAATACAGAGAATCATCATTCGTTTTGCAGGTTCAAAGACTGTGAAGATGGACTACCAATCCGACTTCCCTTCACTTCCTGCTGCTCGTGCTCCTCAGGCTGCTGCCACTGGAGCATGGAACCGTCCTCGCCCTGTTGCCGCCGCTAATGCTTCACTCGTAAGATTATTTTATTACTGGAAAGTCATTAAAGGACTCTTTGCAGACCTTGGTACTCAACTCTGATGAGCGTGCGAACAAAGTCAAAACTCTTGGAAATACTACTGAAGAACACAAGAAATGCCAACACATTGCTAGCGCTACTGGAACAAAGATCGAGCTCAGTGAATCTAGAGATGGAACTCTCACTATTGTGATCAAGGGTCTTCGCGGAAAGATTGATGAAGCTCGTTCACGCTTAGTGAAAGATCTTCAAACTCAGGCTAACCGTGAAATTGAGATCCCTAAGGACCATCATGGAAAAATCATAGGTAGCTCATTATTATTTCATAGCATTGTGTAATCATGTGATTTCTCAGGAAAAGATGGAGCCACTCTTAAGCAACTCGAGAGTGATTCTAACTGCAAGATTACTATTCCAAATAGGGATTCTGATTCATCACTCATCAAGATTGTCGGTCCAACTGACGGTATTGAGAAGGCTGCTGCTGCTATTAGAGCTATTTCCGATAGAGAGGTAGAGTGTTAACAATCACTTATCAAATATTATTCTTGTTTTTTAGGCCAAACTTGGTCATGAGTCTATTGTTTGTCCAAAACAACTAATTCCATATGTACGTGGACCATTCAATGAGAATTATGATAAGCTTGTAAGCGATTATAAGGTGAAGATCAACATCCCTCCCAAAGATGCTGAGAGCGAGGTAACAGTTCAAATTCTCATCCCGTGCTTAAAGTAGTGCTTAAGGTTATCACCGTCACTGGAGAGAAGGACGGAGTCACCAAGACTGCTGCTTTCATCCGCAAGGTTCTTGAAGAGAAGGTTTGTTCTCATCCCCAGCGAACAACAGTAAACATTCGTTCTTCAGAAAAACACTGTTCATATCAACTTCAACGTTTCCCACACTCAACACAGATACATCCGTGGTCCACAACACAGTGGAATCCACCAAATTCTCAAGGAAACTGGAGTAATCGTTGAGATTCCTGCCGAAGAGGAAGAAAAAGATGAGATCATTCTTCGTGGAGATGCCGCCAAGCTTGGAGATGCTATCGCTATGGTTCTCACCAGAGCCACCTCTAGAATCTCAAAGGCTATTGATTGCCCTAACTGGCTCCATAAGCATCTTATCGGACCCAAGGGATCAACCTTGGCTACTCTTGTACCAAACAGAACCAAGGTTCAAGTCGAGTTCGAAGGAAACAGTATTTATCTCGAGGGAGCCCCAGAGGAGTTGAACGTAAGCTTAGATAGTTTCGTCCTGTTCTATTTATATGATTTCAGCCTGCCTATGAAACTTTGTTCAAGGAGGCTGCTCGTCTCCAGAACGAGTTGGCCATCGATAAGATTAAGGTTCACCCAACCCTTCACCGTCACGTTATTGGAAAGGGCGGAGCTTTAAGTTAGTTTAGTTATCACATCTGTACTATGATATACTTTTACAGTTTCCAAGATCAAGGTAGAAAGCGAAGTTCAAATTCACATTCCCAGCGGAGACACTGGATCCGATGAGATCACCATCGAAGGAAAGAAGGCCGGAGTCAAGAAGGCCGTTCAAGAAATTAAAGCTATCGTTTCCAAGATTGTTAGTTTTTATCATGACATCCATTATTTTCAATTATTCTTGTAGGAGAACGAGAAGTCTAAGGATATCATCATTGAGCAACGTTTCCACAAGATGATCATTGGAGCCAAGGGCTCTGAAGTCTCCAAGATCCGTGACCAATTCCCCAATGTGGTATGTTATAGAATGCTCATTACTAAAGTTATGAATTTGTCTTACAGACTCTTACCTTCCCAGAAACTAACAAGAAATCCGATATTGTCAACATCCGTGGAGACAAGAACGACGTTGAGAAAGTTCACAAGATCCTCCTCAACACTGTTAAGGAACTTAATGAGAACAATTATCAACAAGTTGTTCCAATCTTCAAGGAGTTCCACAAGAACATCATCGGAAAGGGAGGAGCCACTATTCGTAGAATCAGAGAAGAGACCGAGACCCGCATTGATTTACCTGAGGGAAGCTCCGGAGAAGACAAGATTACTGTCACCGGAAAGCAAAAGAATGTTGAGAAGGCTATCGAACAGCTGAACAAGATTCAAAACGAGCTCGCCAATATTGTTAACATCGAGCTTGATATTCCCGTCAAGGTTCAATCCCGTCTTTTGGGAGGTGGAAGACGTCTTGTCAGTGACATCGAAACCGAATGTGGAGGAGTTCAAATCAAATTCCCATCAGAGAAATCTGAATCCACCAAGGTCACTGTTCGTGGCCCCAAGGATGATGCTGCTAAGGCTGAGAAGCTCTTGGCTGCTCTCGCTAAGGACAAAGAACAAGACCTTCTTGAAGAAACTGTCACTGCTAAGCCCGAATACCACAAATTCCTTATTGGTAAGGGAGGAGCCAAGATCAACAAGGTAATTTCTTTTTGTGAAAGTCATCCTAATGGAACAAATCATTACAGCTCCGTGAGAACTACGATGTTCGCGTCATGTTCCCAAGAGAATCTGATACTGATCAAGAGACAATCCACCTTCTCGGAAAGAAAGAATGCGTTCTGACCGTTAAGAAGGATCTTGAAAATGCCATCAAGGAGTTGAATGAAACTGTTGAAATCCAGGTGAGAAACTATCAGCTGTTGTTTGTTTAATACTCTATCTAGGTTGATATCGACAGCAAACACCACAAGCACTTCCTTGTTCGTGGAGCTGCCGTTCTTAAGGAAATCCAAGATCAGAACGGAGGTGTCCGTATTTCTTTCCCTAAGGAGGGAAACAGTGTCACCGTCAAGGGATCCAAGACATGCGTTGAATCTGCCAAATCTCGTATTGAAGACATCATTGAAGACATTGTAAGTTAATTGTTTCTCCTTTCACGTGTTTACTGAAATTGTTCAGGAGAACCAAGTGACCCTCAAGGTTGAGATCCCAAGCCAATACCATCGTGCTCTTCTCTCCAACCGTGGTCAGAAGATCCATGACTTGCAAACCAAGCACAGAGTTCAAATCCGTTTCCCTGACAGAAGAAAGGAAGGAGAGGTTGATGAGAACGCCAACCCAGATGTTGTCACCATTGCTGGACGTGACGTCCGTTGCGAGGAAGCCAAGACTGATCTTTTGGCTCTTGTACCAATCCAACGTGTCATCAACGTTCCAACTGATGCTCACAAGATGCTCATCGGACGTGGAGGAGAAACTGTTCGCAAGATGATGCAAGATTTCGATGTCAACATTTCCATCCCTAAGGGAGAGAACGCATCTGAGGAAATCGTTCTTACTGGACAAGTTGAGAATGTTGAGAACGCTCTCGAAGATATCAGAGAGAAGATGAAGCAATACGATGCTGAAGCAGAAGAGAGAGTAAGCAAAGTTTCCATGTTTAATTATTTAAATTTTTGTTTATAGAAATTGAAATCCTTCCAATTGGTCGTTGAAGCTCCTGCTGAGTACCACCAACGCATCATTGGACCTAAGGGATCCGTCATCAATAGCCTTCGCGACAAGCATAGTGTTCAAATCAGCATGCCCCGTGGTGAAGAAGCTGGAGACAGCATTACCATCCAAGGAAAGGAAGAGAATGCTCGTGCCTGTGCTACCGACATCGAAGCTATCATTGATGATATTCGCTCCATGTTCACTCAAGAAGTCCAAATCGATCACCGTTGCCACCCACGTCTCATCGGAAGCCGCGGTAGAAACCTTAAGACCGTAAGTCAAAACTAATTAATCGTGAATTAACTTGAATTTCTAGATGATGGAGAAGTATGAAGTTGAGATTCGCTTCCCACGTGAGAACGCCGCTGACGCCGACCTAGTTGTCGTCTGTGGACGTCTTGAGGACAACGTCTATGACTGCATCGACTATCTTCGTGACGAAGAAGAGAAGTGGTTGGAAGAGAACCAAGACCGTGAAGCTTTCCGCGTTCAACGTGCTCCCGAACCAGAGCAAAGAAGACAACCAGCTAACGTTCAAATCAGCAATGCTCCATGGCAAATGGATATGGAACAATTCCCAGACATGGGAGTTGCCGCTCAAGCCCAACCCGTCGGAGGAGCTTGGGGAGGAAACCGCCGCTGGTAGACACCTACGATTGACTTGGACCTGCCTTCTTATGTCTTAAAGTTGTTTTTTCGTTTTAATGTACCATTTTTGGGTTGTTACATACCTCTCAAAGGGAGAAGATTCTTATTGTTAAATACTTCTGTTATTTCCTCACCCACCAGGCGCCTTAAACAATGCACCTTTCCACTGTGCCTTTTCCGTAGTCTGTGTATTATCTACGGGAGAATCAATCTAGTATAAGCACTTCGAGTTATTTATTCTTTTTAATTAAGGTATTTATTTTTAGTTTTATAGTTTTATTACAAGTTTTATTTTCTTTTTTTCAAACATGAACCTGTAAAGAAAGTGATTAATAATAATAAATGAAGGTCAGGTCAAACTGTATTTCTGTTGCATTTACCATCTTGCCATCTTCGGTCAAGCCAATAGTTCAACAGATATGGAGCAACAGATCAAAGGAACTTGATATGCACAATAATCTCTGATATAGGTCAAGTTCATACAATGGACATCACTGATCCGGTTCTCTCTAACTAATAGCATTCGATGTTCGAGCAGGGGTCTCGCGATATAACAATATGGTTCGAATAATGATTTATAAATTATTTTGACTAGAGTAAGTGAATGAAAGTGGCATTGAGATGAATATATATGTAATTGAGCAATTCTGAGATTCTGAACTTTGGACTTTCACGGATATTTTTGATTTTGCCATCGGAACTTTGCATCACAAACTGGCTTAGCTTCAGGATTTTTCTGATGTTCTTTGTGATATCGAACCTAAAAAATCTGATAATGCTCAATGATCGGTCATTACTCACTGAAGCCATTTGACTGTAATAGGACATATCGAAGTTCCTTTGTTGATTGTAATATGTCTGATTATACAACATTTCGTGCAAACAGTCAAATCCTGCATAGTCGAATTCGGGAAGAAACTGCAATGATCAAGTTTTCGTCAGAATTGATACTTTCTCTCACTTTGTTCGCCATAACGTTTGGATAAATGGAAAGTGAAGTTAAATCTTCAAGGCCGAGCACACATATGGCGTGTCTGATATGATTAGTCGCACATCCTTTCTCTCCAGAATAAGCCCAGTGCGACATACTGCAATGACTGTTGAACAAGAGCGAGCATACAAACAACTGACCGACTGATGAAATCTGTGCCCTTCCCGTGCTCCAAACAATCATTGTGGAAATGACCAGGCATTTCCAGGTCCTGTGTGTTTTGCAATGTCAGCATCAATACTTCATCAACACCAAAGCTCTAAACGGAAATTATCAATAGCATATGGATTATTCCCCCTTCTATTCACTACACTTCTCTCTTCGAAGAGTTTTGGCAGTTTTACAAAAAGCACCTAGTTTGGGGAGTTTTTTTTTTGAATTCTTGAATAACACCCCACAGTCTGGAACGTTCATGCAACGTTTCAGTTTCAAGCGCTGATAAGCTCCCACTTTTATCGAGAAAAAGTAGGAATTCAGGGTGAGAGTGTAGAGTTGCAAACACCTAATAAATTCTGATAGTTTACCATTTTATTTATAACGTTGATAACATTAGTTAAATCCACTGTATTTACAAGCCAGTCAACTGCAGCGCGACTGAGAGATACCTGAAACATCATTCAATCATAGCCCGAAGATATAGTAAATAACCTGTGTTGCTCCTTTTGCGAATTGAAGAGTTGCATTGAGTTGCTTAGCTGTTGCCAGCGACTCTGTAATCACACGTGAATACGATTACTAATTAGCATAATGTGATCGCCGATGCACCCAAAAGTCATTTATACATTTTCCGCCGCACAGAGCAGTCGCATTCTTACGTACATTAAATAAACCTACCGTTTCTGAAAAGTTTCAACGATCTCGCGTCGTAGTGTTCTTTAGGGTCGTATCGACCAGAGGGACAATGAGTTAATTCTGCATCATTAGCTCCAGCAAGTTCATCATATACTGCGGATAAATCATATACATTCTTTGTGATAGTGTCATGGTTCTGGAGAATAAGAGTTTGTCTATTAAACATTTTCAAATAATACTTGAAGCAATAGGGCATAACCCCATTGTTTCCTTTTCAGTATGAGTTTCAAGCATTCATAATGTGCATGGTTCATGAAATGACCAGAGCCATCAACACTGAACTCAACTAGAACAAACAAACTATAAGAATAAATGCACTGCTAGACAGACCTGGTGTTATCATCACATTGTCGAAACAATTGGCAAGTTGTTTGATTCTTTGATGGAATTTCGCGTCAGCTTTTTTATCGATGGAATAGCAGAACGTATTGTTAGGATGGTAGGCTGATTTGAACTCATCCTCAATGAATATGTAGCTCTGTAGTGTGAGACCATGATTGATTACTTGTAAACAACAATCTTACTTTATAAACTATTCTTGCGAATGCTGTTGGAACCTTTAGGGGTTTCAACTCAGCTGGTGGAAGCAATCGAGCTCTTAGAACTTCACACGTATCCACCTTATCCAACGGTGGATCAGTCTCCAGAGTGATTCGTTTCTTAGCTATCTCTTTCATATATTTCTGGTAATAAATTGATTATATATGAAATATATAACAACTCACTTTGTCTCCATTCAGTGCACGTGCACAGTCGATATGGGCAGTTTCCCGTTTCTTGACGAACGGTTTGACTTTGACTGGAGGAGCATGAGTAGTGGGACGTGATATTGTGGTTGAAGAAACAGTCGTAGTACTAGTAGTTGTTGTAGTAGTGGTTGTAGAAGTTGTTGATGAAGAAGTTGTTTGGGCCTCTGTTGTTGTTGTTTCGGTTGTAGGCACTATTTGAGTTGTAGAAGCTTTTAATAATTTAATTTTGTATGACTGCCTAATATCAAGACGAGTCACTAAAATCAGAATAAGGAGAGACGTTGTAAAAGGCATTTACCTTGTGTCATGTAATTTAAATATCCATTGCCATGCACATAAAAAGAATAAAATATTATTAGAAATACTATAAATGCGAATAATTTAATAATAACAGAAAAGGATATGAAGTCAGGATACTGGCGTGTGCGGGTACCCCATTGATACCTATACGCCATATACTACCTGAAAATGGGAAAGCTAAAGATTTACAAAACTCGCATGTGACGTCACGAAAATGATGGTAAACGATAGTAGTTGAATTGATAGAATTATTATTTCTAAAGTACATAGGATAACACTCTTAATCCAGTTCACTTCATACTCACCCTATCCATCTCTCTCTCTCTCTCTCTCTTTCTCTCTCTAGCGGATCTATTTCTATCCATTTTGAATATGCTAAGAAGGAAATGTTTTTAGCGTTGTCAAGGGTACCCATCGGCATTAAAAATCGAAAAGGAATTGAATGTTACTTATTCACTATATGAGCAATTGACATGCACTCTATGGTACTGATAATAATGACCAACTGATTAACACAACCGCTTCTCGCATCATCAATGCTAAAAATGAAAAAGGCGTCCACAACATTAGAATATTTCATGTTTTACTAATGAGAACGGCCTTTCACTATAGGATCTGCAAATATATTTTGAATAGTATTTACTTAAAATTGAAATTTCTTTATTCAGCCATACTTTATGATCGAGAGCAAACACACAACCCAATTCGTTATCATGGAAACCATAAAAAACTGAAGCGAATGCTTACTTTTTGGCTTTTAAAATCCTTCACATCAGTAAGCTGTCTCTGCAATTCGAATTGTTTGTTTCCTTCAATCATCAAATAATATTTACTTGTTCAACGTAATAGAGCATTCCTTAGTGTTCATGAGGTATTGCTTGAGATCTGGAACTTCCCATCCTCCGAACTCTTTGTAATCGATGAAAGTCAAAGTGCTGACGAGGTAGTTAGAGTACCTTCAAAGATAGACTCAATTACTCAAATAATAAAGTTACAAAGAATAACCAAAGCGAGTCTTGATCAGCAGCTGGTTGGCTCCAGTTGTTCGTGATCTTCTTCCAATCAGAGTCGTGCGTCTTGATTCCAACGCTTGATTTAGGGAAGGAGGTCGGAAACGCTTTGATTACTCTGATCCTTCTAATATGTTTACTTTTATGAGATTTCGAAGTTTGTTGATGAAGTTGATATTCACATTGATATCAGTCGCCCAATTGCCTGATAAAGTGACCTGAAACATAGTGTTCGATCAAGAGTAATCAATAAACCACACAGTAATCCAAAATCGGTCGCTGTATGATGAGCAGGAAGTGAATGACTTATAGAATTCATTGAATTGCACTTCAACGCTTTTGTTCGATTGAAAAGTCATTTCGAGATAAACTTCATAAGTTATGCCGACTGAAAATGAGATTGTTGATATGAAGGAGAGAAGGACATGCCGTCATCAGCTATCTTCATGTTACTACAGATATTCTGATCGAAAAATCCATTGCTTTTAGCTGAATACCCTCTATTGAGACAAGGAGATGTATTAGTTGATAGGAAAATGAAAAGAAAACCTGAAGACAACAAGTGAATAACCATTCTGTAAGAGACAGTTGAACTGCTTAGCAGTGGCAGGCTGGTAGAAGTCAGCAGAGTATTCATAACTTGCCTATATCAATTTCATTTCAAAAACAAAACGTTTATCATGTGTGTCCCTACCAGATTGCTTACATCTTTACTAAATCCTATTTGAATGAAAGTAAAAAACACAACTAATAATATCATTTTCTTCATTTTTCTCAAGAAATTGTCTTATCAGATGATAATTGGAAGGCGTAGGCTGTGATATGACGAGACTTTCGTTCCAAAAAATATCCTCCATACCCATCCCACATATTATAAGAGAATTATAGCTTATCGTCAACAGAGCTTACTTATAAAACGAGAAGTATGATAAAAATAATGTTTGTTCCGATATAATCATGATGGTTAGCATATTGAGAGGAGTTGTCTCCTTCTCATTGTTATTCTGTCTTGCGGCAGCTCAGTCAAATGTAATTTGAGTTCTTATCTAATCGATATCCCATATTCTTGCACAGGTCCATTATGCCATTGATTTTGTGACCTCCGTTTCAACAAGCCAATTCAAATGCATTCATGATACTGGCTATGATCTTGTATTCATAAGGTAATGTAAACACTCTGGACCAACCAAAAACATCATTTCACTTAAAGAGTTTATGATGTTGATGGTTTCGACTCAAATGCAATCACTAACATTCGAAATGCATTCACTCTTAATCTCAATGTGGAAGTCTTCATGATTCCACAACCAAAATCTGCGAAATCAGGTGCTAAACAGTTTTCTGAAGTCTATCAATCATTGGAATTAAACGGATTAAATATACAAAGTTTATGGATTAAGGTGAATTCTCTTATTCAATTATCACATGCGCAAAGGCTTACACATGCATTTGAGGTCTTTAATCCTTCCAAATGGCCAAGCTCTGCAGCAGCAAACAGGAATTTCATTGATGACATCTATACACAAGCTCAGGCACTTTCCATCTTCACTTGTGTAATTAACCTTTGACGATTAAGAAGAATCAAGTGAGCGTGGGAATATATACTTCGATCTCTGATTGGCAACATATCACCAGTGACTACACAGGTCCAGCTGATCGTCAACAAAACCTTTGGTAACTATACTTTTCCCTGAAAACAACATATTCATTTCCCTACAGGTACTACCAGAACTCTGGACCAGGCAAATCCGGCGAATCGCAGCCTGATTTCAAAGATTTTGAACCTTTCGGCGGCTGGAAAAGCGCTGGAGTAAAACAGTTTGCTCAAGTCGAAGGAGTATGTGACGTTTTGACTAATAGGTGAGCTATTTTCAAAACAATTACGTTACGTGGAAAACGTGAATTACGTTGTTGACGTGGCATTCGTTGGTTACGTGACCAAACTATACACATAATGTAGATAGCTCAGAGCGGTTGCATTGATCCTTTTAGCGATTCTTTGTTCTTTTTAAACCTATCTGTTATAGAAATATTTACTATGCGGCATCATCAGTGGCATCTATCGGAAAAGAAACGAATGAAACGATGATCGGTGGAAATCTTTAATAATCTCTTTTTGTTTACAATAAATCTAATTTGAAACAGTTTACATTGAAAATGAGTTTGAAAACGTTCGTCACAGATCTTCTGATGAGACTTCTCTCATTATCATATCCTGGCTTTCATCAAACGGTTTGTCTTCAGCTGTAGATAACTCATAATCTCATCTCCAGAATTTATATTTCACTTTGTGTTCGAATTCCATGACTCCATCTGCTTGCTTGTCAAACCATTTCCCTGACTACTCCTACTATCAGAAGTATAATAGAGATTGAAAGTTTTCGTTTCTTTAACATTGTTCTTTTGGGTATATTGCTAACTGCAGTGGAACTATATTCGGTAGCAGATGTGAAGCTACGGTTTGTCTCATTTCTAATGTTGTTGATAGTAAAAGTGATTGCTCATAGATAGCTTTGAGTCGATCTCAGAATATCATCAGCATATCGTTCAAAGGACCAACGAATATCGAAACTCTAATGGAATCCGGGATACACTCGTTGAATGCTATGGTTCTTCGATCTTCAGATTTATCTTTAATGATATAAATTTAAGGAATTGGTAAGATACGAAGAGTTTCATCCCAGCTTCCGAATGTATGTAGGCAAGGAATTTCTGATCGCTTTCGATCAACTGTGGAACTCAGGATTAGGTGACTCAATACGTGAATTGAATTATCAGTTTTGTGATTACAGAATAATTGTATTGATAATCATGGTACTTTAAAGACATCTTCAATGTTTTCAGATACGCTCACACTCCATAGGAGGATGCTTAGCTCAATTAGCAATTGCAAGGATCAAACGTTTGTATAGAGAATGGAAGATCTATTATTTTGGTGCCGGATGCCCTAGATGTGGAGCAGGTGTAAGTTATTTCTTCTGTATATTCTCATAGTTAGCATTTTTTTCAGTCTTTTCCTGATGCAATCAATCAGGCTACAGAGATAGCTGTTAGATCCAATTGGGAAGATGATATTGTAACGGTGAGTAACAATTGACGATGTTGACGAATTGAATATCATCTAGACTATGCCCGTACCCTGCAGAAAAATTGGAACAGAAACTTTTTGCTTTCAACATTGCTGTGTAAGTTACTTCTTCTTATAGCTTTTTCTCATTTTCAAATTGAACAGAATGCAACTCAGAGTCGTCGGCTGCTATTTGGGCTTCTCACCGATACTAAAACATGTTATAACGCAGAAGATCCGAAGTGCACGAAAGGAGACAGTCATAAGGCTCATTCATCCGCTTGGTACACGGAGCCATCCGACTACTCAAACTTACACTGCTACCTCGGGCAGGCAAGAAGATTCAAATGGGAAGAGAAAGACAGCTTTTTAAATTTTTAAAATTTTTATTTTCTTAATTTTTTTAAAAACATTTTTTCCAAAATTGACTATTTCACAGGATGTGTGAACCCGCGTTCATCGTATCATATAGAGAAGTAAGGTAGGCATAAGGAAGAGGGGGAGGGGAATGGGGGAAGAGGGAGGGAGAGGGGACGATGGTGTTGGTTGAAAGACAAGAATTATTGCCTAATATGATATAATAGTATGATCAACAGTATAAATAATTAGATTGTGTTATAAATTATGGCATTATGTGACAATTCGTTAGATTGGCTAATCACCGGGGAAAGCCAATATACTTAATGAGATTCCATTGAAGCTAAGAATGAATGATATCTCTCAATAGAACTTTCTAAACCTAGTTTATTATGCTTGGGACGAGTGACGATGTTGCTTTTTCTCTTCCAATGCCATAGGACTTCCATGCTTCTCACTGTCATGAACCTTCTTCTTCAATGTATTAGCTGATGGCTTTGAGAACGGTAGAGCGGCAAACACGACTGGTAACACAATCAAACCATGACACATTCCAAGGAAAATTACAAGAACAACAACCTAAAGCGTATAACTGTGTATATGATGTGTATTCTTAACGTACCTTCACAAACACTTGTACCATGTAAGCATGAACAAGAGCCAAGACTGTGATCGAAATCATAGTTGAAGTTCCAGCTTGCACCATTGGCCAAGCGATGGATGCTAAAGCATGACGAATGCGTTCTTCTTGTGTCTGAAAGAGAGGAGACTAATATCACGTAGAACTCAATAGCTCTTACAGCGAATTCTCCTTTGTAATAATGCCATGTAACGTGAGCCACGAAATCAACAGAAAAACCAATAGCCATTAATAGTGTTGTCATGGATATAGGATCGAGATCGATGTCCATGTATACCAAACAACCGAACACACCTGCGAGGTGATAAGTTGTGATGGTAAAGGATATGAATTCAAATTACCTAAGTTAATAGAGAGAATAGCAACTGTAGAAGTCACAATAGTAACCAAAGAAGGTGTGAATAACATCAAGACAACTATCATACACATCAGAGCGAACAACACAGTTTGTTGAGTCACAGGTACGATACTCAGAAGCTGAAGAAGAGATATGATGGACAACCTGTTATGAGTTGGCTTACTTGATCGGAGTACATAGAGAAGTCCTCATAAATAGTCAAATTGAGATGAGAATACTCACTAGCGATATCTCTCCATCTGAAGATTAACTATGAAATCTCACAAAGAGAGCAATGATAAACCTTTCTAGCAAGCTTAACCGATCACTCCATGAAACAGCGTTATGGAAACCAGTTGTGAATACAAACTTATGCAGACATGACGATCGTTCAGATAAACAATCTCTATAAATCAAATATAAAGATAATGAGATAATCCCAAAAGAACGTACTGAGTATTTCCAAGATTCACGAAATGACTCCATTTACGATACTCTTGAAGCTTGAAAAATTCTGGCAAGTAGCGATATTTGAAATCAATACTTCCATGTTCCTTCTCTCCAACGAATGGCAGATATGGTAGAAGCCAATTGTGGGTACTAGCTGCTCCAACACTGTTATTGGCTGTTTCGAATCGTTGAATGATTCTCATTAGCTCAGGAATTTTGTCAGGCTCAGCCATATCACCAGGACTATTAACAAAGATGGCAACCTGTCCACCTTCCTTGAATATCACATTGGTTTGAATACGCACAAGGTCCAATAATGGTGAGTCTTCCAAGAATAGCTTCTCAGATGATAATCCAACCTATATGATTAATTATTATTGAAGTCAGTCTCGAATCATTGTTATACCTTAATCTGCATAACGCCATGAAGCATGATAGCCCAATAGGAGAGAACTATTGTTCCAATGAGATACTTGCTGTAGCTCCACATACTGAACTTGACCCAAACGTTCAAAGCAGAAGTTGCGAGATGTCCCAAATACTTTTCAATGGAAGAAGGTTCTTGTGCTGACTTCTGGGGAAAAAAACATTCACAAGATAAGATTGTGAATAACTACCTTCTCTTCAGGCTTTTCAACAATCCACCAGAAATAAGCATTCTTGTTCTGAGCCTCTCTCTCACCTCCAATGACCAGCACAGCTGAGAAGAAGAATATTTGATAAATGTAATCATAAACAACGGCAACGGAGATGAACACACAGAAAGTCTTAAAAGAATCATTTGAATAAAGGTTTTAGGTTGCGAGGTCATACATAAATAGCGGGAGTGGGTGTGAAGATTCCGATACCGAAAGATAAAAGATTCGTTAACGAGGTGATAGAAATTGATGGTCCAGCATCAGCTAAAGTCTCAGCCATTCGATCTCTTACAGTCTTTCTGAATTATCATAGTTATTCTAAAGTCAATTGAGTTTGAATGTTTTTACTTGTCATTGGTTCTATGCCAAGCATGGATGAATATGAAAACATCATCAACTCCAATAGCCAAGATCAAGAATGGTACAACTGTTACGATAGGCAAGTATTCGAATCCCATCTACATCAGAAGTTATTATAATCAAACTAATCATATAGTTATACCCAGAATAGATGTCCAAATGAAGCTACCAAGGAGAGGATTGGGCAAATGACTCCAAGAATTGATTCCATTGTTTTACTTTTAACTGGATTCTTTTTCAATGTTGTGATAACAGTAAAGACCAGTATGATAAGGAAAGTAACTCCCATCAAAGGCATTGCCAAGATTCCTTAGAAGACAAGATGAGTTATTCATTGATGAGAAGAGACTATACCTGTACGTCGAACTTCTTCAGATACTAACCCTTCAGATGTACAATAAACTCGAATTAAAGGATCATTTGTAGTACTCAAGCTGTAGTTGAAGACAGCTTTTTCCCATTTTCTCATAATAGCCAAGGAACTTTCATTACTGTAAATTGCGTGGAAGTTAATAGCCAGAAGACGAGATTCTTCAACAATCTGTGATCTGAAATAATAATGTTCAATTGAGTAATTAACTTTGAGTATGGGTCATCAATGCCACATCAACCGGTCAATGAGGTACATTAAGAAAATTGTTTTTGCAAATAGAATGTTCACGTAACGTGACGTGGCGGTCACTCACGTGTGCCACGTATACACGTGGAACACAAACAAAACAAACAAAAACTAATTAAGGTTAGTTGAAAAAGAGGAAAAAATGAAATAACCTGTTGTTCAACCCGACAAGAAATATATTATTAGCTAAGTAAACACGATGACCAAATACGTCCATAGATGGATATGTTAATTTGACATGACTGGTATTCTTCCTTTGCTGATCTCTGAACATGGTCAAGAAGATGTTAACCTGCAATTAATTATTGAAAAATCAGATGTATAGAGAGTTGGTGCTTACAGCATCTGAAGTTTCACATTGAGTTCCACAGAAATCAGAATATGAGTAGTTTCTTCCTTCATGCTCTACTTTCAATTTGTATTGTAAGAACTCTTCAATCTCTAATGCTTTGTCAATGTAACTGTAAATGAGAATCATGATGAGAAGTACTTTTCAATGAAATGTTTACTCTGGTCTCAGTATATTACCCTCATCCGAAGATCTCATGGCAACAACCACGTGGAATGGACTTCCAAGCTCTTGGAAGAACTCTCGAGCAACCGCATATTCGTATCTTGATGGTGAATCAGTCGCACTGAATTCCTCTTTTTATGTATCTAGTTTCGTGGTGATTATCTCACCTAAAATGGTCTCGAACGTTATTCACTTCCTTGAACCGTACGACCCCTCCACCCATAGCGATAGCCCAGAATATGCTGAAAGACAATATTTATCTTTTCTTAAGTTAAAACTTCTTCCTTCGAAACTATCTGAATATCCGGTTTGACACTTTCTCTCTCTTTTCGTGCTTTCGGTCTTTCTGTGTCCATCTCATCCCTTTCTCTCTTTCTCTCTCACTCTCTCTCTATCTCTATCTCTTCGTCATTCTCTATCCTTTTCATCTTTTTTTTTCATCGGACAATCCGATAGTAATACAACTGAAAATCAGGAACATAACTGTTGACCAACAAGTCTTTTGCATACATTACTGTTCGAACATCTTAACAGAATAAGAAATCTTTAAAGATGATTCAAATGAATGATTCATGACGAAAGCTTCAATCAGATAAGCTGATGCTCCCTTTCAGTCATTTTTCTCTTCGCATCGACAGTTTTCTCTCAATCCATCTAGAGAGAGATAGAGAGAGAGAGAGGAAGAGGGGGGAAAGGGGATGGGGGAATTCCAATATCTAATTTGATTCATCTAGAAAACTCATCCTTTATCCTCTTCAAATTTGCACTCTTGTTTCCAATTCGATTATATAAGAGACCTGTTGTCCATAAGAGGATCATTAACGTTTCAACTGGACATCGGCAAGCCATATAAACGGCTTCAAAGCCAAAAGAGAAAACGTTAAAGGGATAGAATAAGGAGTGACTTCGGACAATCGGTATCCAAGAAAATCCAATAGATTAAAAGAGACGTCAACTAACAGATTACCCTCTTCTATTTCTCTTTGATTTTCCCCATCCTCTCTCTCTGTCTCTCTGTATTCTATGTCCTTTCTTCCTTTTTCTGATCATTTTGTCGAACAATTGCGTTCATGCAGATCGACGACAGAAATTCCTATCGTTCAACGTTGTTTGACGAAATATCCTCGTCGACACTTGCCTCTCAATTTTGTCGTTGTGGTCATGGACGGATACATCGTCATCGGAAGAGAAAGACTTTAAACTTATCCTCCCACTTGCTGAACTCGAACAGGCTAGCAATAGCAAGAAAGCCATTTATAGGCAAAGAACAAGATGGTCGGCTTAGAAATCAAGATTCATCAACGAGAAACGTCTTTTTCATTGAATAAGGCAGGCAAGTCAATTGACAATCTTCTGATTCTATTCTTTTTTTTCTCCTCTTTTCATCTTCTCTTCACAGTATGGGGGCAAATTATGGATAATATAAAAATCAATAATATTATTCAACGTTTTAGGTCAGCTTATAAAAATGCGGGCTTGACGCATCTATCTGACGATTTCAAAATGACTTCGCAATCATCCATCAGACAGGCTTAACATAGTAAGGGATGACAGAGGTGTAGGAAGGAAGGTAGAATGAGAAAACAATGTTTTTCAAAATTGGAACAAAAAGAATATTTCCTCATTTTGACAAGAAAACCAAATCCCGCTGCGTTAAGAAGTAAGCGGAAAGAGGAAATTCATGAGATGTTTCAGAATTTTTCCATCTAGGTCAATTGATTCATTATTTCGAGCACAATAGCATCCTATCAAACGAAATGCCTACCTTACACCCTCTCATCTCATCATCTTGTAACTCTCATTCTTCTTCTCATTCTCTCTCTATACTTTCCTCTTCTTCCCCTCTCTCTCTCTCTCTCTCTCTCTCTCTCTCTCTCTCTCTATCTCTCTCTCTCTCTACGACCTATTGGTTATATGCATCATTATACTTTTTTGATATCTCTTCTAACTAAACACTCAGTTGACCTGATTGTTTGAAAACAAAAATTTTTATAAACTCGTAAAAGCTTTACCATAAGAAGAAGAAAGTTTTGGGATAGTCAGCTATCCGTAATCCAATAGAATAAAACAAGTCGTGGGTCTTTTGTTCCACGAATACACATAGTCGTTCCATGGAACGAGGATATAGTTGCCCCTGCAAATATGAAAATGAAAATTCGAATATCTACTACTTCAAATGAAAATGGCTTCATGAATGTACATTAATTTGGTAGAACGATTGAGAAAGATTAAGAATCTGATATGGAAATGAATGCAAAAATGAACGACAAGTAACAAGATCTTCTTAAGACGTCTATCATCTGGAACGATTGATTGCTTAGTGGATTTGGCGTCAACGGCTCGATGACGACGTTTTCAAATGCAAAATCATTGCTGCAAATCTTTCAGCATACTTCATTATTCATAATAACATGTAACTGAGAGAAGACTGACAGATGAGTTGTAGATTATAGAGATGATTGGAGAAAAAAAGAAAAAAAGCAACCGTTCACACTTCTGTAAGCATCAAAATGAAATTCTTGTGGCTACGCATGCGTCACAGGTTCACGTAAGCGGCATGCTAATTTCTTGAATTCATAAATTTGATTAAAAAAGATTGTTCTAAAGGTGGAAACGGCTAAATATGCAAATTAGAGTTGAAACTTGGACAAAGACTATCAGCTTAGTGGGCTAATAGAAGAAGAACAGGTTAGCAGTGGCTAAGAAATGTCCAAGAAAGAAATGCATAGATATCGAGAAAGATGAAGAGAATGAGGAGAAGAAGGGGGCGGAATAGAAGCGTCTCAGACTTCCAGTATTCTGTTCATCAATGGCTTTTGCCAAGAAGTTATCTTTTGCATGGAAAACTGTGATGTTGATGATGATGATGATGATGAAGATGATTGAAAAGAATGGGGCTTTATGAGTTCTTCATACAAACACTTGCTAAGAGCGATCAAGATGAAGTCGAACATGAATAAGAAGTGTGTAGCAGCGGTTAAGAAAAAAAAACATTTTTAATCTCCTTTTCAGTCAAAAAGGAAAATGATGGAAATAAATGATTTTCATTTAATTATTCATTTCTGGTGATATGATTTCAGTGACTGATGGAACTAATCGGGTCAGATTTGACACATTCTCTTTCTTCACAAGGATTCGTTCATAGATGATTTGCAAAGTAAGAATCAAATTCAAATATGAATATGCTCAGATGTGTAAGACGATTGACGTATCATGAAGCTGACACATGATATCGTACTATGAATGAAGTTAGAAAGAGACAAGACAAACTTTGTGATCGAAAAAAAAAAAAGCGAAGCGAAGTTGGAAAGATTTCAGATGAAAACACTTTCGGGTCAACTGACTGTTCGTCTCAAGTGAAAGCAACACCCCACAGGATTTCTGGGTTTGTCTTCTCGCATTTGCGGTTAGAAGTTCTTCGCTTTCTAAGTATTTAGGATGGAAAAGGAGACACAAAAAAAAGTGAAATGAGAACGAAAAACCGTAATAGAATGAGTGAAACAGAAGGAAAACGGTCAAAAGTAAGAGGCAAAAGGATATCTTTTAATAGAGAATATGAGAGAAATGAAAGAGAAAATTCACTCTGAATTAACGGCAAGCGAAGGCTAAGATTCTTCGACGTCATCGCTTTTGTAGGATTTTGATATAGGGAGAAGGTGGGACAGAGGGTCAGAGAGGATAATGCAATAGAAATATAGTGAGAGAGAGATAGTGAGAGAATAAGATGGTTGCGAGATGAAAAGAAGTAAGAGAATATGGTAAAGAGGATGAGGTTGTGAGAGAAATGATTGAAATGGAACAATCTTCATCAAAAGAACTGTGGCCATAGAACGAGAAAAGGAAATGGATATCATTTGGGATTGTCTAGGTTAACCTCGACCGCAAGTCGTTTATTTCGTGTTCTTATTTGTCATGCAAATTTCTCACATTCTCTTTTGATATGTTTTTTTGAGGTCTTTCAATTGAACTTTCACTCATTCCATCTCAAAATTTATTTTATAATCGAAAAAAATACAAAAAAATAAGCGAATCTTTGATAGCAATCTGTTCAGCAGACAAGAAACGCGCAGAAATCTCATTAGTTCTGACAAGCAGAGACAAATTTTCATTTCATAAAATGTTTATAATACTATATATGGACACTACCGAAGTAGAATGAGAGGAAAAACACTTTGGTCAACTGAAACTATGATAATACAATTATCCATTCATACACTCTGTTGAAGAGTTAAGTTATTGATCTTTCAGTCTTATTGCTCACACATAGTTGTGCAGTTTCCCTTTTTTCATGGCTGCCACTCGTATTTAGAGATACATCTCACTTTCTAACCTACATCGATAAGCTGGAACTCTGTAGGAGTAACAAGTTGTACACTATGTTCAGCGTCACGACTGTATGGCTGTTTTGCTCAGGACTGTAATGTTCATTGTGTTCATTTTCGATTGTTTTGAATCTACTCAGTCAGTTGATCACAAGAACAAGCTGAGCTTTAAGAGTTTGTGCTTTTTCGATCAGAAACCGAATTGTAAGTAGTGGCCAACAGCTAATCATAGATAGTATGTACTGAGAGTTGCTCCATTGCGAATT